GGGGGAGGGGGTATATGCATATCTAACCTATACCCTGACGAGTATAGTGGCTTTCTCTGTGAAGACACCCGGCTAGTGAGAAGTGTCACTATTGGTTATTAAAAATGTTCGTCTATTGGTTAAATGTCTAAAATACCCTTTAATAAAGGGCATTACAAATTGAACTTGTTAACATCAAGTAAAAATGGCAAAAAGAACTAGATTTTGATTGAGAACTTGACTGAATTATGAACACAGGGAGCGCATCCTTATTACAAGCCGGCAAGAGGAAATATCTTATCTTCGAAAGATTCATTCTGTTTTGATGTTCAACATAGCAGCAAAGCTGGATATTGTGAGTCTTGCCATCAGTGTGACTATGAAATAAAGTATGCTGATCATAGTTCCTCTTTAGGGGTACTTTCAAAGGACGACCTTCGTCTAGTTGATGTAAACGGAACATCAATTGATTCTAAAGTTGTTATTGGGTAAGATCCTTATCTTATATTATACTCCCTCCGTCCCAAAAATAAATGTTCACAATGAAAAAAACACAGTTTTAACTTAAGGACAATTTTAACCTTAGTAATAGAGGGAGTAATGAATTTCTCGATATCATAATTAAGGATAGAATTGGAAAGTAGGCACATACAGTTTTCTCTAAATGACAGTTTTACCCTTGGTAATAGAGAGTAATGAATTTCTCCATCTCATAATTAAGGATAGAATTGGAAAGTAGGCACTTTTAGTTCTAACTAAATGACAGTTTTACTCTTGGTAATAGAGGGAGTAATGAATGTCTCTGTCTCATGATTAAGGGTAGAATTGGAAAGTAAGTGGACACCTATTCTGGGACAAACTAAAAAAGAAATGTGGACACTTATTTTGGCATGGAGGGTGTATATCTTTTCCATATCTTTGAACCTTTTTCTTGACAATAGCTGTTTGATTCACACAGAAATAGCATCTTTTGTTGTGTATTAGGTGTGCGTATGATCAGCAAGGGATACTTTTAAACTCTTTGATGAAAACAGACGGGATCCTCGGTCTTAGCAGGGCTAAAGTGAGCCTTCCTTCTCAATTAGCAAAACAAGGAATTATCGACAATGTGATCGGCCACTGTCTTACATCTGATTCTACAAGCGGTGGATACATGTTCTTAGGAGGCGACTTTGTGCCACAAACGAAGATGTCTTGGGTTCCCATGCTCAATGATGCTTCCATGTGAGCGTTTCATCTCTGTTTCCATTTCTTTCTGCAAGTAGTTTATGCTTTATTGACCTTTTTATCAACACCTTAGGGGCTGTTTACCAACACAAGTTGGGTAAGCATTAATCGGGTTAATGTTGACTTAAATTGTAGCAAGTGCTTATCGATAAAAACGATTTGGGTAAGCACTGTCTTACTTGGTCAGTGACATATTTGTGCCTGACTCAGTCAGCACCTCGGTCAGTTAGAAGTGTAGGTAAACAACATCATCTCTTAATCGGTAAGAGGCTCTTACCCATTAAGAGACAATCAACACTAAGGCCTTGTTTGCTTAAAAAAAAGCTCTTATGAGTCCCTTATGCCTGATTCGTTAGAGGCAGGGCCATTCAGACTGTCTGTTCTTTCCAATTTTTCAGAGGCACTTATGTCTTATTGTTCTATTATCCGGTAAGAGGTAAACCAACCTCTTATTTGACTCTTATTGTTCTCCAAACCCTCAGCAACGACGTTTCTTAATCGTTTAACCTTAATAGATCACTTATCTCAATAGATCCTTACCAAATTGATGCTCACCTCTCTCAATTGATGTATTCTAGTAGGATTTAGATGTGCTAAATACCGTCAATGGCATATTTTCGTTTAAATGAATGCTAATTATATAATTTAGATGTAAATTTCGCAATGATGATGAATAAAAATGTGAAATTGTATAAATTTATCTATAAATTCAGACATTTATTAGTTTACAAAAACAAACGGTTTTATTGAATCAGATTTCAGCACCACCTCTTATCAATTAGAAGTGAAATAAGACTTCAACACCTCTTAGAAAACAAATGTCACCTAAGTAAACAACCCTTTAATGGCTATGTCTAACCAAACCAAGCCAAACGAGCCAAAAGATGAGGTCGGGGAGGGGGGGTGAGATGTATGCAGACCTTATATCTAGCTTTCTTATGTACTTCAATTTCTGATATCTAGCTCTCTTTGTGAAGGAATTATCTTGCAGAAGTTGCTAGAGTGACTTACGGATCTAAGCAACTTAGTTTAGATCGTCATAAAAAGGGAAGTGGGCGAATGGTCTTTGATAGTGGAAGTTCTTATACATATTTCACAAGACAAGCATATTCTGATTTAACTAGTATGGTGAGTGTCCTACTCTCATAGTAGCGGGGAGATATATAACTTTACAACGTTGTTCCTTTGTAACATTTTCAATTATACAAATTGCAGCTTAAAGACGTCTCTCGTGATGGCTTCATTCAAGATGCTTCAGATACAACACTACCCATTTGTTGGCGATCTAAATCTCCAATAAGGTACTTTGAATAGATCTTCGTTATTGGTTGTTTTTATCAACACAGTTCTTCCTAGAGTTCCAAAGTTAATAAGATAATTATGGAAGTTAAATTGCATGACGGTTTCTATTTGATTTGCCCCCTATATATTTGTCGTAGATATATAATTGTATGTATTAAAATAGGAAGATGTATGCTTGAATTTTTTTTTTTGATTAACCTGGATATCCAACCTGCTATGCGAGCCGACTAATCCCAGGGCGACCGCCCGCTTCATGGGTAGCCGGGAGTCACCGCATTTGAACCTCCGTGGCTACAAGGGGGTTTTTTTATTCCTCCTTGGATTCGAACCTAGGACCTCCAGGCACTTTTGATCTTTGGAGCTCAAACCAATCAGGCACCACCCTTGTGGTTTGTATGCTTGAATTTTATAGTATGTATAGTTGTACTTACTATAATAAGAAGTTACAAAGTTATTTTGGCTTGCTTACAGATCCATCAAAGATGTTAGCAAATTCTTCAAACCACTTACTCTTCAATTTGTGAGAAAATGGTGGAGTATTTCGACAAATCTACATATACTTCCGGAGGGCTACTTGATCATAAGTGTAAGAATTGAAACTTAGATTTAATATGTCGTTCCATTTGGCAAAGCGACAATCACCTAATATAACCTTTTGTGTTTGTAGAACAAGGGGAACGTGTGCTTAGGCATCCTCGATGGTAGTGATTTGCTTGAGGGATCACATATTCTTCTTGGAGGTACAAGTTCATTACGATATTAGCACATGTTGATTCTTTGCTTGATTCGCCATGAAAGAAAGATGAAGTGCATTCCTCTTTGAAAGAGAGATGTAACTTGTCCATTGTCGTTAAATCATATGCAAACCATTATGTCCCACTCGGAAGTAAGGTCGGGGGGGGGGGGGGAAGGGAGGTTGGGATGTAAGCAGATATGTCTTCTACCCCAAATGATAGAGCGGTTGTTTCTGTGAAAACCCTTGACTTGCGACAAAGTTTGCTTGCCTTAAACCAAACACACTTAGTATGGCCCACACAAAAGGTAGGGTATGGGGGTGGGATGTATGTAGACCTGTCATCTATCCCAAATAGTAGAGTGATTGTTTCCATGAAGACCACTGAATTGCGACAAAGTGCATTGTCCTAAAAACAAAACAAAACCAAACCAAACCAAACCAAACCCATCGACCATTCCCCACTTGAAAGTAGGGTTTAGGAGATAGGATGTACACAGAACCGTCCTCTACCCCAGATAGTAGAACGACTATCTCCATGAAGCCCCTTTACTTGCAACAATATGTTTGTTAAAAGATTGTTGTATTTTGAATGAACAAGTGTGCTTCTCCAACATGCCTTTTGTTTGCTTGCTTTATAGACATCTCGATGCGTGGAAATTTGATTGTCTACGACAATGTGAAGCAGAGAGTTGGTTGGATGAGATCCGAGTGTGTCGATTTAACTAACAAGTACCTTCCATCTTTTTGATAGTATATATCATTGTTGTAAATATCTATGCCGTATATCTAATTACTTGTAAACTTTTTTGTAATGCAGTCTCGTTTATAATCGTATGCATATGTGCATCGCATAAATTTACCATTTCTTTAAAGATCCCTCTTCGGTTTTTACCTAGTTGTTGAGCATAATGCAAAGCCTGTAAATTGATCTTTGATCGAAACTAAATTCTCGAGGGTAGGGATGTACATGGGTTGGGTTGACGGTTTGAGGAATTTAAAACAACCCAATCACAATGGTTTGAAAAAATCTCAGTATAAACCACAAGGGTGGTGCCTGATTGGTTTGAGCTTGGCTCCAAAGGTCAAAATTACCTGGAGGTTTCAGGTTCAAATCCAAGCAGGAATAAAAGTCCCCTTATGGCCATGGAGGTTTAAATGCGGTGATTCCGAGTTATCTGCAAAGCAGGTGGTCGCCCTGTGATTAGTCGGTTGGCATAACGGGTTAGATATTCAGGTTAATAAAAAATCTATCTCAGCATAACCCAACTCGTTACAAAGTGCAACCTGACTCAACCCTTGTAAGTTAGGTTGGGTTGAGGAGTTGCCACTATTCTTTTAAATAAGTTGCATCTTCGATTTTTGGTGACTTAGAACTATAGTTCATCACTCGATTTAATTCTATACTTGCAACAAATCGGTAATATCCAATTACTGATACACAAGTACTTCAACAAACAAAGAAAATGCGTTTGCAAAAGACGAAAATGCGAACACTCACGTATGTTGTCTTCACCTAACCATATATATCACACACACGAAGGATCGTGTGAGAATACGAGTTAAGATGAGGAGCGTAAGAAGGAATTTGAACCCTTGATCACTTTTAATCTAAAGCCAACCAATTAATTGTGCTTTAGGATGATCCGGTGCCTTCTATCAGTGTTGATCTAGTGGAACTCTTCAATTAGAATTGATCCAAGAGCGGAGACCCTTTCTTACCTTTCTCACCATAACTCTCACCGGAACCCAACCTTAAGGTTATCATCTTTTTCAAAAATACTCTTGTTCACTTGTTTTCACATTTGTTTAATATGTACTGTTTTTACAATTATTACAAAAATGTCATAAGTTAATCTAATCCGTAGATCTTAAAGTTTAATGGTCAAGGTAAGTTCACATAGTTAACACCGATGGTTCAGTTAACAAAATATATATAAAGGGAGTTCTTTTGAGATCCATATAATTTGTAAGATCCATGATATCCAATTTTTGGAAAATAAAATCTAAAATAAAAACCTGTCTCTCCTATCTCCTTTTTCCCTCTCATCTCTCGTATTTTTTCTTTTTCTTCTCTCCATAACATTAACATACAAAAACATAGACTTGAGATCATGTGAGATCAAGGGTTTTTCGTGAGTCCCGTAAGACCAATTCTCAACCATTGGATTAGATCTACAATATGAACATTCATAATCATAAAATTGCCATGAGACTTCTCAATAATCACAAAATTGCTACCGTGCAACTTTAGACCATTAGATCATTAGCTTATAAAGTTGATCAATGAACATAAATTGGTCTTGCGAGTCTCACGAAAAACCTTTGGTCTCACGTGAACCCAACCCTACAAACATAATTGAATATATATATATATATAGATCAACACATTGTGAATACTTTCTTCAAGATATTATTAAAGTTTGTGAACACACTCTAAATTAAGATCTAGTATAGCTTGTGAACACAAACTACATCAACAAAACTACATCTAAATCTATCACTTTTGTATACTATATGAACTTTGTAATTATATTATGAATACCCTAGTAAAAAAATCTTAAGCTTGTTTATAATGCGATCACTATGTGTTCACTTTACGTGCATATTTAATTGTGCGTGTGTTCACGTTATGTGCACATTTAATTGTACATGTGTGTATGTTACGGGGAGATGAGAGGAGGGAGAGAGAGAGAGAGAAGGAAAAAAGATATATATATATATATATATATATATATATAGAGAGAGAGAGAGAGAGATAGAGAGAGAGAGATGAGCGATCAAATGAAAACTGCCCTCATTTGTGTAAACCGTACAAACCACCCTCATACGTCCATTTCATTGTTTAATCTTATGAAATTTTTTCATGAAATTGTTTAATCTTGTGAAATTGTTTCATATAATACTTTTTTTGATGAATTTGTTTTATATATGGTTATGAAATTGTTTCATATAATATTTAATTAAACTTTAATGAAATTGTTTCATGGATTTCTCTAAAACTAAAATAATGAAGACGATAATATCCATGATTAACACCCTTCACAATAAAAATGGTTAATCAATCTCTCATAATTACAAAAAAATGAACAAAATGAAAAATTATGATTGGTTGAATGTGGTTTTCACGGTTTACACAAATTGGGTGGTTTTTATTTAAACGCTCCCCTATATATATATATATATATATATATATGTATATATATATATATATATGAATTTTTTTAAAGAACACTAATTTTTATTTAATAAATAACAATAATTATCTCATTAATTTTTTACTGTTAAATTTACGGTTGATAGCAACATGTAAATGGAGAATGAGAATTAGGCAAAATAATGGAGAAAATGGTGCTCCAAAAAGTTAGGGTTATGCATGAGTCGAAGACATTTGAACAACTCAATCTTACGTTTGCGGTTTTAAAATTCTTAACCCAACTGAACCCAAACCGTAAGAGTTGGATTGGTCGGGTTGAAAGTTTGATACTTCATTTTACAATCTAGTCAAGTAATTATGTTTAGATGAAGTAAAAACAAAAAAAAAATGAGAATATACGAATAAGGCTAACAAACCCCAAAAAGAAAGTTGAAGGGTTCATGCAAATAAGAAAGTAAATTTACGGTTAATATTTTGATATGATTACAAATAGAACTAATTAGGTTACGATTAACTATGGACTTAACAATCATATTAATGATATAGAAAAACATCAGGTTCATCGGATTCGGTTCACTTCCAACTCAATACTAACGGTTTGAAGGTTTTACAATGAGTCGTTTCGGGTTGGATTGGATTGTGTCATCTCGGGTTGGGTTGGCCGGGTTAGTCAGGTTTTTGTGTACCCCTACCAAAAATGACCAAAAACGAGAATGAGGCTCAGACTAGGTGAATATAAATGAAAATTTTATCCAAATTATATATTAACGACGGGTCGGGTTGCATTGGGTTAAGTTAGACCTACTCAATTTCAACCCTATTAATTGACGGTTTAGGGGTTGAGTTCAATTGGATTGCTTACGGGTTCGGTTGGATGGGTTGAACGGGTTGACGGTTTTTTGTAAAGCCCTACTTGAGGGGTATTTAGGACAATAACTTTTTGATAGATTTAAAAAAAAATGCAATGACATATTTTGAGCAATTCTTGTACTAGGAAGAGACATTCTTTTGTTAGATAAATGTCTTCTTAAATCAGCATGTATTGAAAAAAAATCTGTCATAATCTTATTTTTCTTAGTAACCCCGAGAGGGTTATATAGGAGAATACCCTTCTGGCATATTTTTGGTGACGTCTCTATTAACATTATCTATCATTAAAAAACGGGCTCGAAAAGTCCGGACCCTGTGCATCTCTACCTCATACCGTATATTGCTATTCAAGATAGTGTTTTAGTTGAATTCGATGATAGTATTATACCCCCAAACGTACCCGTTATATCTCATTCATGAAAAAGATCCGAGAAGGTATGATGTATGCAGATCATACCTCAAACGTACCCAATATATCCCATCAACATATAAGGTATGAGGAAGCATGATGTATATGCAAATCATACATCAAATGTACCCGGTACATCTCATCTACAGATAAGGTGGACGGAGGCATGATGTACGCAAATCATACTTCACACGTACCCTGCATATCCTAAGGTCTGCGGAGGCATGATGTATGCAAATCGTACTTCATATGTACCCAATATATCCGATTTGCTGACAAGGTCTGAGGAGGCATGATGTATACAGATCATACCTCAAACGTACACAATATATCCCATCTGTAGATAAGGTTTCTATGATGTACGCAGATCATACCTCTAAGGATTAGAGGTAAAGGGTAAAGAAACAAAGATGCTCATTTATTTGTTAGTATCACTAAAGCTGAAACCCTTTTTTTTTTTTTTTTTGATTAACCTGGATATCCAACCCGCTATGTGGGCCGACTAATCACAAGGCGACCACCTGCTTTGCAGATAGCTCGAAGTCACCGCATTTGAACCTCCGTGGCCACAAGGGGATTTTTATTCCTCGGATTTGAACTTAGGACCTCCGGGTATTTTGACCTTCGGAGCCAAGCTCAACCAATCAGACACCACCTTGTGGTTAAACTGAAACCTTTTTCCATCAAAACATTTGGAAATATGATCTACAATACATAAAGTTAGTTTTCTAAACTAACAAGTTCTCATTTCTGTTTCTAGGCTTAAAAAACTTCCATAAACGGCCCCAAATCCCGCAAATATCATCTTCGATCTTTCCCTCGGGCAGCGGAGCCTTAAATTTCGCCTTTTCGCTCAGTTCCTCAAACGCCACGACCAAATTCCCGAGCCTTGCAACAAACTCGATCAAAAGCGACGTAAACGTCACGAGCGACAACACGCTCGCGCTCTTATACGTGTCAGCTTCATCTTGTATGACCATTCTTTCGGGCTTATACGAGAATTGCCGAGTTAACGACTTGAACTTGTTACCGTTCGTCCCCTCCCAGGGCATATTCGTGCTTTCAGGACTCCTTGACGTTCCAAGATCCAGTAATGCTTCACTATGGGAATGAAACCCGTGGTATTCACGCGGGCCATCCATCTTTAAAAAGTCTTGGGGATCGTTAAACTCGACTGGTGGTTTTCTGATCTCCCAACTGTTTGAATCTACTAGAAGGTAGGATTTGCGGTCAACTTTCCTTTGCAAGTCTTCAGCTGCTTTAAGGACTTCATCGAGTATATTCATCGAGCCGAGTTTCTCCATTTTCTTGACTTTGTTTCCGAGTACACGTAGCACTTTAGCACCGGCCGTGCCTACCCTTTGAAGTTCTTCTTGGAAAACCAGTCTCCGATCGGCAGGGGCCTGCAATTATATAAAAGAAGGTCCAATTGGCACTACGGCATTGCTCGTTTCAAAAAGAAGCACGGGATTTCCCAATAGTTAACAAATTGACAACTTCCGATTAAGCCTCTAAACCATACAAACTAGGACCGAAACAAGATTCGAGAAAAAGTACAATGAATTGAGAAAGGTACCTGTATTTCCGAGAGTACGCACCCATGCAACGCCATGACCATAAACGAGCAATGCCGTAGTGCACCGCTCACTTTGACGAAGTTTCTCCAAGGGTACTTGTAGATCTTGTAAGCACCATGGGGTGGCTCCCAGATAGCAAAGCCCATCTAAACAACGAACACCGACTTATACAATTTTTGACTTGTCAACTTTAAAATCGTCGAGGGTTCTTCTGTTTTGTAAAGAAAATACTCCCTCTGTCCCAAATGAAATGTCCACAATGAAAAAAGTACACAGTTTTAGAAATATGTAACTATTACACTTTTTAAGTAATTAAATGACAATTTTACCCTTAATAATAGAGGGAGTAAACTTGATCTCATGATTAAGGGTAAAATTGGAAAGTATGCACTTACTTTTGAAAGTGTACACTTATTTTGGGACAGAGAGTAGATAATAATAGCATCAATGATTATGACAAATAAAAATCGGGAAATCCCATGTGATAAACTCGTAATAAAATTTATAAAGCAAAACAAACAAACTCATTATATCTCACTCAAAAGTAGGGTATGAGAGGGGTAGGATGTTAGCAGACTTGTCCTCTACTCCAAGGGGTAGAGTGACTATTTCTGTGAAAACCATTAATATATATATAGAGAGAGAGAAGGGGGGGGGGGGGGTTTCAAACGAGAAGAGTAACCAAATCAGAGAACACGAAAACTGACAAATCACGTGCAAATCAGAGAATACGAAAACGGGCAAATCACTTGCAAAATCCAAGTGGTTTTACATTAACAGTCAATGCAAAGGTGTGTAGGCGACGTGGCTTGCAACCTTAGGTCGCGGCCAAAGTCGCGTGAATCACATGTGATTTTGCACATGATTTTAATGTAAAATCACATGTGATTCGACCGTTTTCCTATTCTCTTATTTAGATATTGTTCTCGTATGAACCTAACTCTCTCTATCTATATATAGAGAGAGAGGGTAGGGTAGGGTAGGGTAGGGTGGGGTGGGGTGGGGATCAAACGAGAACATGGTCAAAAAGAAGAAAACGGCCAAATCACATGTATTTCACATGCAATTACGAAACACGGCTAACCCAAGGGTGAGCAGGCGACCTGGCCCACCTCATGTCGCAGCTGAAGTCGCGTGAATCACATGTGATTCTACACATGATTTTAGTGTAAATTCATATGTGATTTGGCAGTTTTCGTGTTCTCTTATTTGGTTATTGTTCTCGTATGAACCTCATTCTCTCTCCTTATACATATATATTGAATCTAACTTTTCAAAACACAAGGTTCTAAGTGTAAGATACCAAAGTGTCCTCTTGAGTTGTAGATTCCACAGCTGATCTGTAGCCGCTATAAAGCCGATCCTCATGAGCTTGGTAAGTGAGGATTTTCGAAGGGATCCTTTTATATTCAACACAATTCAGATATTGATTAATACAACCTGCAAAGAATCCGTAATAGAATATTTAACGGATCAAAATTGGCAACAACACGATCATGTAAACGAAGAGGTCTACTTTGACTTCTAAAGTCAAAAAAACCACTCTTAGATTCACAAGGGTGCTGCCTGATTGGTTTGAACTTGAGCTCCAAAGGTCAAAGTGTCTGGAGGTCTCAAGTTCAAATCCAAGGAGGAATAAAAATCCCCTTGTGGCTATGTAGGTTCAAATGCGGTGACTTCGGGCTACCCGCAAAGCAGGTGGTCGCCCTGGGATTAGTCGGCTTGCATAGCGGGTTGGATATCCAGGTTAATAAAAAAAAACCACTCTTAAACCTCAAAATTCTTATGGATTCTTTGTATTATTTTCTTCGTATTTCCAAGAAAATATCGATGGCTACAAATTTTGAACCTTGTTAAAGATTAAAAGAAGAAAATTTAAATTTGTAACGTAATCCATATAAACTTTGAATTTGAAAATCTATAGCTTTGACCTCAGAAGAAAATAGAATCAATAACACAGAGTATTAAACCTTCAAGGGAGTTGGCAACACCAATGAAATTCTTAACCACCAAATTATGCAAATCTTCACCAGCCCAGATGGGATAGATGCCGATATTCACAAGCAATCCGACACCAGCACCGAGTGCAATTAGCAAAAAACGACTAACGGCCATATGTATGAACTCATTTGAGCGATACCCAGATGCCATTATGTAGCAATAGGTCAACGTGAACACTCTGAATCCATATTCGTAAGCCTTCATTGTGGGGTAAAGTTTTGCGAAAGTTGCAAGTGATCCTACAAAAGCCACGGATTCACAAACCAAGAGAAATATATAATTATCATCTTAAGATAGGGGAATTCAAGCAGGGTCGGGTTCAAATGAGAACCGAAAAATATTTTGAGTACCTGGGAACCAACCAACCATTCATGCTTTATTCATAACGAATGTCATGATGAAAACTATTCATAATGAAATACATGATGAAAATGCATGATATTCAAAATTATTCAGGGTTATTCATCATGAATAATACATGAAATAGTTTGTTCCCAGCTTCTCAAAATATTTATGGTTTCGCATTTGAACTTTCCCCAATTTAAGCATATAATATTTATATAGACAGCAAAACTCCACACATTCCTCTCCATTGGTGAGGCTTGAACCCCCGACCTCCAAGGAGGTTGGGATCTACCGCTAACCCAGATATTGCTCGCCATTGATCCTTCGGTATCTTAAGATGGGGAATAGAGTAGCAAGAAATGATGGAGGTTACCTATGGTAAATATGCTGATTACAATAACAACTTCATCACATACTTCACCGAATCGTTCACAATAATGAGCCAACTCAGCCATGGCAAGAGCAAGTCCACCGGCTGACAAAGTCCCCACTCCACGGTTAAACCCTTTGCTAAAGGTTGCACCTGCATAAGAATAAGAAACGATACATAATTAACAGAAGAAAGCATTCGACTTTGAAATCAAATTGCATTCAAGATAAAATCCGGTATATAAGCAACAGATGAATAGTTGTATGAAATTGTGATTTTGGATGCCAAATTGAGATATATGGATAGAGTTTGTATAACCAGTTCCCTCAGCTACCCCACCCAACCCCCAAACCCCACTTCCATTGACAACCAAACAAGTATAAGTAATGACCATTTATGCTGTTTTTGGATGTCAATAAGCACTTTTATAACTTCAAATTTCCACAGAAGTCTGCTGATAGCCCGGAGTCACCACGTTTGAACCTCCGTGGCCACAAACGGATTTTTATTCCTTCTTGGATTTGAACCTGTGACCTCCTGGTACCTTTGACCTTTGGAGCCAAGCTCAAACCAATCAGGCACCACCCTTGTGGTTCCCATATCAATTTCACACTTACAAAACTAGGATTGACATAAAAGATTCAAACTGCAACCAACCCTTTGATCCAAAACAAAATGAACTTAATATGCAAATCCTAACCAAGAAACATGAAATGGAAAAAGGGTATCAAATGGAACTGGAAAAAATGGGAAATAATTCATGTTAATCTGTAAAGAAATCCATATCAATTTCACAGTTAAGAAAACTAGGTTGACATACAAGATTCAAACTCCAACCCTTGCTCAAAAACAGATGAACAGAACAAGCGAATCCTAATCAAGAAACATGAAATTGAAAAAGGGTATCAAAGGAATCTGGATAATAAAATGAGAAAAGAACAGTTACCGATACTGAATTCAAAGACAACCACAACTGTAAGTATAGCCCAAACAGAGTGTTCACTGATATCAGGAAGAGGCTCTTTCCAGAATATCAACAACGAAATCAAAGACAAAGCCAACCCCAATTTCGCAGAAAACACAACTTTTCGTGGATCAGACCGACCCATCTCCGAAGCCCTAATCACCACCCATCGCAAATTGTTCCATAAACCCTTAAATTTCTTCACGATTGAACCAAAACAACTGCACCCACAAACCTTATGATGATCATCGACATCACCATATACAGAATCTCTTTCTTCTAACGACGGTGAAATCAGTCTCTCCCTTTCTATGTTCTCTAAAAACCCTTGTTTGTTGCCCATTTCAATGGAGTCTGAAATTGTAGCTATCGAATGAAATAGCAGTTGCCGATGGCCCCTTTTGCTTCGGTTGTTATCTGCTTTGTGTAAAACCCACTTACATCGTGCATAAGAGAAAGCATTTTTTGGGCGAATGATGCATGTTTTGATGGGTTTAAAGGTATGGCCGTCTGGGATTCGAGTGGAATACAGACAAAGTCACGAGATCGTTGGGACAGCTTCGAGGAAAAGGAGGCTCAGCATTCCCGAAATTGACTTCTGCGTGGGTAGGGCCATGTTTTTGATATTTCATTTATTACTTTTTTTTTTTTAATTTTTGAATGTATAAAATATAATAGAATTTATTTTAATTATTATCTATACTCCCTTATAAATTAGATTTATAAAAAATTTTAAAAATAATTTTTAATGTACAAAGTATTATACATTTATGCACAAGGTTTTAAAAATCTTAAAAACAACTCATAATGCATTAAATGTTACTACTTTATGCATTCAATCTTAAAATTTCTTAATATACACTTAAAATGACATATAGTACACGTTACCAATTCATATTATTATTTTTTTTCTTTTCATGTTTCCAAGATACTTTTGACACATTTCACTTATGTCTTCACCCTCTCATACTTCTATGTCTTCTCCCCATCTCCTAAGGTGAGATTCAAACTGATATTCACCATGAGTTGTTAAAAATTCTCTCATTCAATTACTTTAGAACTCTCGGTCTCGCTCTTGATCTCTTGATTGTTTGCTCTTGGTGTAAATCGAACACATTTGTGGAGTCGTTAAAATATGTTGGATTTTAAACTGTCATACAATTTTTTCCATCAGTAGATTGTGATTGAAACCATAACTCTTATTTATTCAAATTGTATTAATATGTAAAGATCAAATGTAACTTATATCATCGTTAAATCTTCTCTAATAAAACCAGTAAAACTTTAAAATCGTTAAAATTCACCGCTCCAGCCGTATTGCATGGGTATACAATTAGTTTATTTTAATAAGAAAATATATTCTTTGTATAAAGATCTTTAAAGTTGTTTTTTCATGTAATTTTGCTGTCGTTGTTGTGCCATTTAATAAGCAACTAAACGTTAATATTAAATTATTTTATTAATTAATAAATAAAAGAGTAAATTACATTTTTGGTCCCTATGGTTTACACAAATGACCGAAAATAGTCCCTAGACTTCAATAACTATAGTTATCGTCCCTACTGTTTACATTTTGTTTTGAAAGTAACCTCTCGACTTAACTCTGTTAACTTTTTTCTGTTCAGTTAGGGGTATTTTTGTCTCTTTACTTTTACAAGGAGAAGTTATACAATTTTGCTAGTACTAAATGCGGATTCGGAAACAACCGTAGATACGGGAATGGCAAGACCATCCTTCGCAATCATCGATAAAATAGCATACCTACTAGCATTTACTTTCCACCACGGTAAAATATCAAATCCGGTAGTCGTTGGATCGAGAGATTCTTCAACCAAATATCTTTGAAGATCGTTCGTTTTCTATGGCACTTGCAATTGTTGTTTTTGCATACAGTTTCCCAATAATGACCTCTTATGAGTTTCGTTGTTCGTTGACGAGTCGTTTTTGGCAACCTGTATATATCAAAGAGAAATACAAGCAAAGAACAACTCAAACAAACATAAACATATTAAAATGCATGATAAAATAAATTAAATTACACATATAACTAATGTTTGATTCACCACCTCCAAACTCAACACTATAGACTTCAAACAACTCGTTAAGGATTTTTATGTTATCTATACTATATTATAAAGCATTTAACAAAAACTCTTAAAAACCATTTTTTTATGCACGAGATACTGTTTATTGATGCATATTAGTTAAAATTTAAGATTACAAGTAAATTGTTGTACAACTTATTAAAGCTCCATACTTGAATTCGTGTAACTAATTGCAGATAAACATAATCAAATATTAGATAAACATTTTATTTTAAATATATAAAATCTAAAATATAATTAGGATAACCATTGAGTTCTAACAGAATACTTTAGTTATTATCTTTATAAAAAATTATATTATTAAACCTAAATTAAATTTCTTTGTTACTAAACCTAAACTAAATTATAATTGAAATTTTGAATTAAAGAAATTACACCAAAGAACTTTTACAAAGGTTAATTTGATACTGATATCGATATATATTTTTTTCCAAAATTTTATAATATTTTCAAATTTATATTTTATTCAAAGATAAAAACATTATTGTTTTTTCTCAAAACCACATAAAACCGTATTATATCGACATAAAAAGGAATAAAATGAAATACTGAAATCAAAATGTATCTCGATGCATTGCACGAGTACCCTTCTAGTAGATATATAATGAAAATATAAAACTATTTTACATTTTGGCCCTTAATCTTTGATTTAGAAGAAAATGATTAAAAAAAGGATATAAGGTGTATAAAGAGATCCAAGAAACCTAACTCCAAAGGAAAATCATATATGAGTCTAGAAGCGAAACATATGAAATCGCAGATGCAGATCCACGATGTAGATGTAGAACAGAAGTAGGAGCGATCTTAAGAGAGGGGGCTCCACGACAGTGGCCTTGAAAACGATCCGAGAAGTCACAACCGTAAAGGGCGTGAGGGAGAAAGATGACTCTTCAGTGTTTCGTACAATAGGGGAAAGGGGGAAATATATAGAGGAGCGATCAAATGAAAACCATCCTCATTTGTACAAACCGTACAAACCACCCTCATACGTTGATTTCATTGTTTAATCTTATGGAAAAAAAAATCATGAAATTGTTTAATCTTGTGAAATTGTTTCATATAATACTTTTTTGATGAATTTGTTTCATATATGGTTATGAAATTGTTTCATATAATATTTAATTAAATTTTAATGAAACTGTTTCATGTATTTCTCTAAAATTAAAATAATGAAGATGATAATATCCATGATTAACACCATCCACAATAAAAATGGTTAATCAACCTCTCATAATTACAAAAAAAATGAACAAAATGAAAAATTATGATTGGTTGAAAGAAGTTTGCACGGTTTCTACAAATTAAGTGGTTTTTATTTGAACGCTCCCATATATATNTTAATCAACCTCTCATAATTACAAAAAATTGAACAAAATGAAAAATTATGATTGGTTGAATACGATTTGCACGGTTTCTACAAATTAAGTGGTTTTTATTTGAACGCTCCCATATATATATATATATATATATATATATATATATATATATATATATATATATAAAACCAAGTCCTTACACTTACAAAATGAAAGTAATACATCATTTCTTAATTGATGTATCTAGAATTCTAGATCAGTAATAAAGTACAATAAACTAATAAAAAATGAAAATATCATTTTCATTATCAGTTAATTATTTTTCAGATTCAAATAAGAATCGTAGGAGATGCTAATAATTTTTTTCCATACTCAAATGATAATAATTGTATTATAACAAACACTTGTGATTATTATTTAAATTTAAAAAATAAATAAAGGTTAATAAGAATGATAATTTTCGTTTTATTGGTTTGTTGTATTTTCTACTGATTTTTTGATACAATGACAAAGAAATATTAATTTTTATTTGTTTTATAAATGTAATGCTTTATTCGTTCAAAAAATGTTCAGAGAAAAAAACCCCCAAAAAATGAAAATTTTGTACGATATTCATATGTGCATACATGTAATTGGAAATGTTTCTTGGTTTTTATGCATGTGTACATGTTATGCACATGCATGTACATATCAAACAAATTACTTTATGCACATATGCGTAACAAACAGATAAATGATTATTAAGATGTTTTTCGGTTTTTCATTTTTTCAATAACAATGAACAGACTTAGGATCATGTGAGACCAGTGAGACCCGTGAACCCACCTTTTTACACTTGAAACTTCACAGTAAAAACTGTGAAGGTAACTTTCACAGTGTTTTTTTGCTGTGATGGTTCGAATTTTTTACGTGAAGTTTCAAGTGTAAAATTATGGTCTTACAAGTATAATGAAAACAGGTTGGTCTCATGTGAACTTAACCCACAATAAACATTTATATTTTTGTTAACAATGATGAATCTTCACATATACTTTCACATTTTTAAACTACAATGAGTTTTCATATTTTTGTTAACAACAATAAACTTTCAAAATTTTTTAAATATATAATATTTCTATACACATCGTCTTTTATGAGATTGAGAGCTTTTATCTCTAAAAAGATTAAGGGGCCGTTTACCAAATGGTTACCCAGGTAAACGTTTATCAAATCATATTATCTTACCGGATGAATATGATAAGGATCAAGAACCTTACCCGGTAAGAAGCGAAACAAGGACCAAGAGTCTTACCCAGTAAATGATGACGACGACTCTTACCACTGTAATCATTTGTCGGGTAAATTGTTGCATACTATGCCGTTTTGGTGGACTAAAATCTTACCTGATAAGTAAATGATAGTTTTAGATTTTACCGGTAACCACTTACAAGTAAGTGTTTGATAAACAACCCTTAAAATTACCAAACATCATGTGAGAAGTAAAGTTAAAGTTAGAAACGTAAAAATAAATCTAAATCTTTGATTACCTTTAATTTCAAATTCACTCATGAATCGTGTTTGATAAGGGGATTGATCTCAGCTTAGTATGCATTCAATGGTGGAGATCTCTTCTTACGTTTTCTCATCGGAATCCAATCCTTCGTTCAAATAAGAAGATCAAATATCATAAAAATATGAGACAGGAAAGTTCATATATAAATCATTGATTTTTTTTAAAGATGATTATGTGAACTAACGTTATAAATTATTCATCTGGGTTCATATATACATATTCAAATGGATTTTTTTAATGATTCATATATGAACCTTCCTTTACCTTCTCATGATATTTGGCTTTCTTATTTGAACCTCTCATTATATAGGGTCAGGTTCATATGCGATCCTTTGAAGATATCTATTTGAAGATGCATATGTGAACCCATATAAATGATTAATTTGTAACGCCAATTTAGATATGCATCTTCAAATAGATTTTTTCAACGATTCACATATGTACTTTCCTTAACCTTTCATAGTTATTACCTTCTCATAATATTTAGTCTTATATAGGGTGCCTATGGGTTGGATTGATACTTTGGTACATTAAATTATTCTTCTAACCTTAA